AAAATAAACATCTGTGAGACCTTCTGATAGCTTCTGTCTGACCTCTCCAGCATAACCCTTCTATCTAAATGTGTGTTACACTGTTAAAAGCTCCTTAAGGACTGGGACTCTGTGTATATGTTTTATTTAATGTTTAATGTGTCTCCTATACTTTTCCTTTATTCTCTTCCCTAGGTTGAAGAGAGGAAAAGCACAATACAAGAGAACTCAATAAATAAATTTCAGTTGTTGAAGTATGATTCTCTAAAAGGCACAATTGAAATCCATGTTATATATGTATTATGATTTGTAACATATATTTAATGGCACAAATCCCTTGCAGGTAGAAAAATCTTGTTTTAACATCTAGCTAATTTCTTGTTCTTTGCCATAAGGAAGTCCCTCCTGTTTCCACCATTGGGTAGCTATCCAAAGGAAAAAGGGCAGTTAGGACGGCCCCACTTCTTCACCATTGGACCCACAATAGTCTAAAAGTAGTAGTTTCTATACATGAGGAAGTGGCCTCTGCCAGTGATGGTGTGTGGTCATTACTACACGTTCTTAAGTGACAATGTGCTGCTGTATAGCAACTTTGAGGGTCATAGGACACGTGGTAAATAAAGAAGCATTCTGTGTATTCTTAGCCTTTACATTTTATTTTAAAACAGAAAATTTCATGTCATTTATCACCTACTTTTAAACAGAATGGTGCATTAATTGAATGCCTTGTCATAACTCCTATAAGATCTGTTAGAAAAATAAACATCTCACAACAATCTACAGTGTCAGCTCTTTAATAAATACATAAAACAGAAGTTAGTAGTCAGAGTTACATGAACAGGTTCATAGCATATTACGTGAAATTAAAACCTCAATCTTTTGTATCATTTAAGGCAATTTAACTTTATGTATAATCCAAAGCCAGAAATAATATGAAACATGTTCAGTAAGAATTTGTTTCTTTCTTAGAGCTATTTAATACACAAAAATTTTAATTTAAAAATACATTCTATATTAAATTTCTTTTTTACAAAGGCAGTACATGTTAAGTGAAACAAAATAAGGTTATGTTACTGATAATTTAAAAAACATTTCTAATTTTCTTGCAGAGGTTTAAAAAACCTTAATAAAGTAGCTGATAAATGTAAAATAGTTTAAATGTATGTTAAATATACACAAAATGAATTTCTATATTAATATGTGCAAATTTGTATTTTCTTATAATTTAGAATTAAAATATTTTATACTAAATATTTTTAATAAAATCTATGTACCATACTTGTCATTGTGTGGAATTCATCAGAATCACATTTGTCTGTGGCATAGTGTAAAGTTGGTCAAAGATCTTTACACGTGTCACATATTTTCCATCCTTGATTGCAGTGGTTATTTTATTGTGTTAGACAATTTTAACTGAAGTTGATCATAAAGACTAGAAATCTCATTAATAGAGTTAGCTTCCAAAGATAAATTTTAAGCAGAAAAATATTTCAGGTAGATACAAGAGTAGTGTCATTACTCTCAGGTATTTCAAAAAAAGCTGCCCAGAGAGCTGAACAATTGTTTCACATAATCAAAATAATTTAAATATGCAGTTTTAAAACAGTCACTACATGGGCTTGAAGGCAAATGTATCAGAACCAAGGAAAACATCAAAAGAACAAAAAGGATAAAGAAAGATTAAACAAAAGTAGGAGGACCCAAGAGCAAAGTTGTTTTCCACAAGACTGGTTGTTTCATATTTTCTTCCATTGATAAAAGACAAACAAGATGCTACAAAATCTAATTACGATGGTTTCATGGAATATTTTTCCAGTTAGTTTTGTTTACAAGTGAGATGATCATATACAGAGGATCCCTTAAGAAAGGAATAAAAAAAAAATGTTAAGTGAAATAAACTTACCCATTCTAGTCAGTTAGTGAGGATTGTTGAATTAATCATCACTTAGCATAGAACATAAACGGAAGCCTGAAGGAGCTTTTGCAACTTAAAGATCTGCAGAAGATGAGTTGATTATCAGACAGTCAGGCTCCCTATTGAGTTGTGATTCAATTGTATTGAAAACTGGCTTCAGATGTTACCAGACATTAATTCATAAAAATTTAAAAGAACAGGATTATCCCATACCTATGAATGTTTATTTAAAGGTGAATTAGTGCAATATTTAAGCACACTTTTCAACACTGCACCTAAGATGCCAACAATTTCAGAAGACATGACAATTTTGGAGAGGTTAAATTGAAAAACTGTCTTAGAATCAATGAGACACACATATAGATGTGGGTGATCAGTTAGATATAATAAATTGCTATGGAGGAATTTTAAAAGAAGATGCAAATGATCCGAAAGAACGTTCTGCATTCACTTGAAAAGGTTTGCGGTGGATGAAATGGAGTTCTTAAGGTCAACATAGGTAAGAATAGCCATAAATTGGATATTAAGAGTATACAAAAGAGAGTGAAATATGCACATGAATGGGTCTGTCTTTGTGCAGGAGCATAAATTCAAATGAGTGTTAAAATCAAGAGGTGTCTGGAAATGAAGAATTTAATTATGCCACTAAATTCCATTATTTTAAACAATTAGGCTAGTTGAGCCTAAAGCTTTAAGGAAATCTTGGGAAAAGCGAATGGGAAAAAAATAGGATTTAGGATAACAGGAACAATTTATAATTTGATGGAGAGAAGCAATCTAATTTTATAGCTCATCCTGAAATATTTCAGTATCTCATGGATGCCTTTTGTTACACATCATAATATCTTCTGGGGAGGTTAAGTGAATGCTAAAAAAAAGAAGGAATTTATTCTTTAGTGAAGTGTTGAATATGATGCACCCACTAATGTTAGTATTTTGAGTTTTTTAAAAAAATTGCCTCCAGAGATATCTAGTATTGTTCTTGGTGTGGTGGTGGTTGTTATTTTTATAAATCAAAACTAAAATGAACATTTAGAACATAATCTGATTTCTAGTGAGTTTTTATGTCTTCCAGAGAATGTTATGGCTTAATAAATACTAGCAAATTTCAAAGAATATATTGAACACTTATGAGCACATGTGCACTGCAGTGTAAAGATGCCCTAGAGAAATAAGTTGCATCCAGTTGTGTCGTAGTGTGCATGGGGCACATTTTCATAATCATTACATACTTGAGGGCACAAAATTGTTGCCGTACCAAGACATGTTGTTCAAGTTCTAAGTTTTGTTAATAATTTAAAATTGTGTTTAATATCAATGAATACAAAAGGCTCCTGTGGTCATAGTAGTTGAAAATAGGCTCTATTTACATAAATTATTTAATCTAAGAATACCCTGTTTCCCCTTATCTTTTAATTAATTCTAACTAGTCAAATATTAATTCACTTCTCAGAAACCATTACACAGAAAAATATCAATTATTCAAGTAAAGTATAAGCCCTAAAACCTTTAAGAATTAGCTCTTTAAGTAGGAAAAAGAAAAAAAAAAAAAGGAAAACAGGAAAAAAAGCATATGACATTCAGAGACAGCTACAGTCATCACTTAGCTTTAAATTGCCTACAAGGAAGTTTGTCTCTTCCTATGTTAACAGCTTGGTCCATTTTAAAGTTAGTGCAAACTAGTGAGATTAAAAAAAAAAATCCTTGATTTTTAAGGACTTCATTTTCTTAAGCTCTTTTGCTCATTTCCATATGGAAATTAGTTTGTAGCTCATAAACACTGAACTATTAATTTTTAAATTGCCAGCATTTTAATTAAAGGATATCTCCCACTTTTTTTCATTTTGGGAGGTTGTCAGACATACATTTATATATTTATGAAAGGATATTATATTTGATAGGCTTAAAATTACAAATTTTACATTATCTTTAGTTACCAAAGTTTTCTTACATGAGTCCAGTATTGAATTATGTCAATGTTCCCAAGTTTCTCACTTGGAATGCATTCATTTTAGTATTATAATTGCTTGGCTGCAGAGAACAGCTCATGGAGCTGCTGTCCGCTGGCTCCAGAAAAACTAAACATGTTTTTCAGTTCTCTTTAGGGTTGAATATAGGATGGAGGTGAGTCTTCATCTAGAACTTTCACTGAAGTTCTGGAAGACAGAAAATCTGGGAATTACAAGAAGATGGTTTAAATATATTGTTTGGTTGTCATAGGTAAAATTCTGGACTGCTCAGAGGATAGTGGGACAGCTAGTCCATGATTCAGACTGAGTAAGTCTGTAGGGATATGGTAATTGTGAAGAAGTTTCCATTGGGGAAGGTAGAGATGTATTCAGGTCTTGAGTTGAGCAGGGTATAACCCCAGAGGGTGCTGTTCGTACAGATTTATAATGTGAAGGATTTCCCCATATTTCCACCACATTGCTGTCTCTTCTCAGAAGCTGATTAGCAGGAAAGACTAGAACCCATTATGGACAACTCAATTGGAATTACTCTTCTCTACTTCTGAAAATTTCTCACAAGCATATATTTAAGACTTCAGTAAAATCACATTTTAAAATATTTGCCAATTGAATATTTTAAAGTCCGAGAGGTAGCATAACATCATGCAATGAACACTGGCCTGCAATTAGAAGTCAGAACTCCTTCTCTAATGCTGCCACTTTTATCTCCTGGGTGGTTTTTAAGTAACCACTTAAACTTTGTAAGCCTTAATTCCCTGACTAACTAAAATGGAGAATTATCTTATTTTTAAGATATTACCTTCCCTCTTCCAATTTTATATTCTTATGAATCCTAGTGAATAGGTTTGGGGCAATTCAGGGAAAGAATGTCCTTAGGCTGCACTGAAGGGCAAAAATAATATAGCTTTTCATCTGAAAAATGTTGATATCTACTTGGACTCAAAAAATCTAAGAAAACTCATTCAAAAGTGTAGTACATTGCTGAGGCAGAGTTTCTAAATACCTTGTGAATTCCAACCTACAGATCAGGCAAATGAAATAGTGAAACAATCCATCCAGTTTACCAGGTAAGAAGATACCACATCTTCAAACAATGAAGCTATTCAGGTTTACATGCTACTTTACAGTGTCCCTTATTAACATTCAGCTTTTAAAACCAGTATTCTAATAAAGTGACATTGTATTACACGTTTTTTATGGCAGTAGTAACTTAGCACTTATTTAATCCAGTCATCTGCAATATATATAAACTTATCCTGGAAGAAGGAAAAACAAAATATAAATGCAAAGAAGAAAGAACATTGGCATTAGTATCCATTTTGTGAAAAGAAGGAAACATAAACACACATGCATCAAACTACACAGTCTCAAAATAGTATCCCTTATGATTAAGGTTCTATGCTGTTCACCTCCTGAATGAATGAAACACCAACAATTTATTCATCTAATTGTTTTTGTCTAGTCACTGCCAATTGCTGAAGCATTTGGCCACTTCGGTATGTAACTACCAGGTTTTGTTTTTCATCCACATGTTCTGGCAGGAATGACTTGCACCCTTGTAGGGACACGAGGCTCGCCTGTCTCACAGCATCGTGTCTTTCTGGGATGTGTAGGAATGGCAGGTACCTGTAAAGTGTAATCAGTGCTCTTCAGAGGATCTACATTCTATGCTGATCTAAATAAGTTATATATTACAGTAAAGTGCTACAACGACACTAGTCTCAAACAGTAGTAAGACACATTTTTCTCTGAAAAGTTCAGCAGCTGTGTGAGTCACATGACAATGAGGATGCTTGTCAGTCTTCATACAACCAGGAACTGGCATGACCTTGAACAATTTTTCTCCTCCTGTGACTTTTACAATTTTACTTTTTTAGGAGCAATTATTTTAAAAAATACAGTTTTCCATAAAGTTTTCTTGTATCTTTTTTAGAAGTTACACCTGAAATTCTCATGAGCATTTAGTTTGCTGATATCCAATTTTATTTCTTCAGGTTTCTCACGGCGGTAGGTTACTGTTCTTGTGCAAACACTTTGCAGAAGCAACTTATCCTTGATGGAGAAGAAATATTGTTATCAATTAAAGACCTAACTATTGCAACTAGACAATAAAATACTGATAATTATATTTTAAAAATTCACTGACCTTTTTTGAGGCAGACACTCTGTAATCTGATGAGGACTTAATTTTATTACTATTCCATTGTAGTATCGCCTGCCTAATGATAAGGACTTTAAGCAGCCCAATCAAGAATGTAACTATGAATATGATGAAAAATATTCTTAAGTAGCTTGGGCTAGATAAACATTCTGTAATAAAGCAAACAAGTTAACATTAAACAAAGCCAGTCAATCAAAGAATTCTAGCAAGTAAACAGTGTTCACATCTTATAATTAATAGAACCAGAGACTTGTACAAATTTGCATTTTCAAAACAAGGGACTGACATTACTGTTGACTCAGAAAAGTAAAGTAATTTTTATTGCACATTTATTATTAAAATATTTTCAAAAGAGAACTTCCCTTTGGGAACAGACACAATGAAAATATTTAATAACATCATTTCTTTCCAGCCTGATTCTATAATTGTCTTAGCTGGAATATGTCCAAGTCCCTTACCCAGATATAATTATATCCATGATAGAGAGAGGGGCAGCTTTTGTGGTGTGTACTTTTGAACACCAAGTGGAAAATCAGATTTTAAGAACTGCTCAACACCTCTGGGCATCAGCATGTGTTCCTCTTGTTATGCTTTCTCTTCATTTGTTGCACACCAGTAATGGAAAATAAAGTAAACATTTGCAGAAGCTGAAATCAGTACTACTCTAATAGATGAATAAATATTGCCTCTGAAATTGCAGTGTAAGGTTTCATTATTATTATGCATGGCTTCAGCAGGAAATAGGAGTGTCCAATTTGGGATAATACACAAATCTTTTGCTTCAATTTTACTTCATTTACTTTTTACTTCTCTGTAAACTAAATCCGTTTGCCTTTAAAAATTCATTATGTGCTTTTCCAAAGACAAATCATTAATTATTCTCTGGGGAAAGAAATGCCCTGTTAAGATGAGGGCCATGCTAGATCTCTCTTTTAGCACCAGGCCTTTGGCAAACTCTCATTGGAAAACCTGCAGCCTCTGTTGTTGCCAGAGGCATCCCCCTTATCATAGAGGAACATGGTTGCATAACAGCAAGTATTCCACAGAACTCAACAGCTGCCCCAGATTCATAAAATTACTTCCGGGCTAGAAAAGACATTGTGTTCCTCTGCCCATTTTACAGACTTTGGGGACCTTATGTTAATTTTAGAGTCTCCCTGGAGAAGGCCACTAAGAAGAAGACCTGCCAATGCATTATGCAATTGTGGGTGATTTGGACTCAATTTTTAGCAGTGACCAAGTATGCTCCCAAATAAGGCCAGAACTCTATATGACAAGGGCCTCTCTGAATGAGAAAACTTAATGAAGCCCCAATTCTTTTGGTCAGTAATAAGGGGTCTTGAACAAAAGGTCAGAGGCAGACCCCAGGGCTACTCATCAAGTGGAAATACCAGATTCCAAAGCAAGTCTTCCATTGTCACAGACCTCAGGGAGACAGAATCCAAAATGCTGTGTTGGAAGGTGGCACCTTTGAGTCTTCCACAGGAGAATGATCCCCAAATCTTTCTCCCCCAACAGATTGCCATTTCCCTTAGATGATCTGGCTACTCAAACCAGCTAAGGCAGGTCCTCAGAGGGAACACGTGGCTTGATTCCACTTACTGGCTTCTTGCCTGGTGGGCACTTAGCCAGAGAGACTGAAAGAAGACCCTTGAAGTGTGATTGAGAGGATAGATAATAGAGGTGCCTAACCAATGCCCTTTCCCTGTCCTTGCACAATAGAGGTTAAGGGGAGGGGAAACCCTCTAGCTCCTCATCAAGTTCAGAAGTATTCCTAATAAGTTAGCAGTTGTAGGGCAATTGTAAGGCTCAACTCTGCCTGTATTTTGAAAGGTTGCTAGGGATGGTCAAACATCTACCCCCAGCCTATGCTTTTCTTAATTGAGATTGGGTCAGAGCTTTTCCTAGGAGCTTTAAGGGGATACTATTTGTAACCACCCTTCAGTCACAGTAGTGTTTACTTAACATAATAAATGACATGTTGATAGGAAGGGCCCTATTTATTAGAAAGGCACTTTGCTTTTGGGAGTGATTGCTGTAGCCCCAGCTGGCAGCACATGGGACTCTGTTTGGAGCCAAATTCATCATGAGCTAAGATCAGTGCAGATGTGAAACCAAAAGGAAACAAAGCTCCGGAGAATGTTTATTCTTCTCGGCAGTCTCTCTAAGGGCTGGGATTTTTTCTTACAGGTTGGAGGAGAAACTTGAAATAATAGAAGCAATGGAAATGTTTCCTATAAAGTAACCTAATTTTTAGCTCTTATGGAGTTAGGAATTCATTTCTAACTCCTTTGAACACCTGTGAAAAAATGGGGTTCCAGCTTTTTGAGTTCTAATGAACTTTCATTTAAAAACAGACTTTGCTCATAACTCTCACATGGTTTTTCCATTTACAAATCATCTTTTGCTGTAGATACTTGTTTCACGGTCGTTGGCTCATTAAGGTCACAACAACCCTTTGAGGTGGATACTATTTATATCTCTATTTAACAGATGAGAAAACTGAGGCTCAGGAAATTTTTCAGGAGGACTGCTATTTCTTAACAAGTAATGCTTAGGGCTTAAGCCAAGGACTTCAGACTAAAAGTTCCATATTGTTTTCATTGTGTTACATTTATCATCATTCCCCCCACTAAACTGCATGCTATCAGAATGAGAAATACAAGGAATGACCCTTTGGATGTTACATAGATTACAAAAGCAGTTCATTGCTCCTTGAGATTTTGTAGCTTCTCCTGAAACACGAGAGTGTGAGTTAAAGGAAACAGGAGTGTCCAATTTGGGATAAAACACAAATCTCTTGCTTTAATTTTACTTCATTTACTTTTTACTTCTCTGTTAACCAAATCTCTTTGCCTTTAAAAATTCATTATGTGCTTTTCCAAAGACAAATAATTAATTATTCTCTGGGGAAAGAAATGCCCTGTTAAGATGAGGGCCATGCTGGATCTCTCTTTTAGCAGTTCTGAACTGGAAGCAACTTTGGGTTATGAAGGAAAATTATGGCTCCACAATCTTTATCTCTCAGTGAAGGGATCCCCTGTTGGGAACCTGTATTTTTTGGCTCATGGAGATCTTTCTAGTCAATTTATTTGGATGTCCTTCCATGGAGGTACACAGCATGGAAATAGAGCGGTGAAGCAGAGGTGTAAAACATTAACTACTCAGGAACATCATCTCTGGGAGATTTCAAAAAGCAAATCACAAACTCATTACATTTTGTCCATAAATGTGTGCAGACTTATTTACTGTATTTCCATGTTGACTCAATAAAATTGTATTAAAAATAAAGAAGTGTTTCATATTGAAACCAAAATTGAAGTTCTTAGTCTTTTCCTTAGCATGGTTAATTATGAGAACTTTGGGGGAATGTGGTCCTCCACAGATACACTATAATGCTTTGATTATGAATCTTCCATTTACCTGATGTTTGATGCCCATAATGCTGGTCCATGAGAGCACATGAGGTTTTGCACTGATCAAGTATAGCTTGAGACAGATTGTGAGGGTGAAGGCATTGCATACAATTCCTGTGAGAGGAACTTAAAACATTAGTTCTTTTAAAAGCAGATAAACTATAATATTTTCTAGGAAAAATAAAATAACAACTTAACAACAAATAGATACTGCAAATTTAGATTAGTTCCATTTGAAATAACTCTATCATTATGTTGAAGTATTGCATTTCCAAATAATTTAAATAAGTGACTATGCATAATAGAATTACAGATTTGAGAGAGAAATCATTTTAAAAATCTGAATTATGCAAACTGGAAAGTACACTGATGTTTAGATTGGTGGTCTGTGAGCAGGTCTCAGACTGTCATTGGAAAATCAATTACTAACACAAAACAATTATGTTGCTTTCATTTAGCATGTTACCTTTTGTTTATTTATCACTTATTTCTAGAGTAAGTCATAGCCACCATCATTCTTTATCATGAAAATATTAAAAGTAAAGCACAATGATAACTTAGTCAACATTTTTTCTACAATCATCATGCACCAAATACAAAGGTGTGCTTTTATTCTGCTTTTCACATTTAATTTAATTTAATTCTTTCACAGAACTTTAACATTATTATGTTTATCCATCATCATCCTTACTTTCAAACTCAGGAAACTGAGACATAGAAGATTTTTAACAACTTGTCTTACACAATTAATTAGTCATCATCTTTGTAGCAAATAGCCTCTATTTTCCAAAACTTATTAAAAAAAAAAAAACTAAGGTAGTGAGTGTCTGGATTTATTGTGATGCTCTACAGCTAGTTATTGGGCTGAGATTGGAATTCAAGTCCTCTAATTTTTAAAATGTCTCCATTCACTTCTTTTTTAGCATGAAGGTAACAATTTGTCTGGCAACTCTGAGATTAAGAAAGGCAGAACCAACAAAAACAGCAGCTGCAGGGCTGCTTTACGACTGCGGAAGTCAGAGAGCTCATACCAGTTTTCACTGCAGGCTGTGTGACAAGTGGGACAGTGCTCACAGAAGCGGCCGATGCTCCGGGGATCTGTGCACTCACACCTGCCGCACACACACGTGCCTCTGCCGCTGCACACCTGGCCTTTTGAATTGACACAGTGCTGGGATGATGCTGAGGGGCACTGGCATCGATCCCCTTCCCATCCGCTGAAGCACTGGCATCTGCCTGCTTCACACTCTCCATGCCCTGCAACCAAGACACACCACGACCCACATTAGGGACGCCACTGACTTGTGAAGAGTTTCCACGTGTGGATTCACTTCCCACCTCCACAGAAATGAACAGGTAGTCAAGTGAATGGAAACCGCATCATTTTCTATTCATCTGACCTAAAGAGTGCCGGAATTTAGGAAAGATGTCCTATTGTAGATAATCTCTCGTACTAATATACTGTGCTAACAAATGTGAAGGAAGTCCCTCCTGTGGTGGCTGCCCGACTCTCTAAGTGTCATACGTTCAGTTTTAAATTAAGACACAGAAATATAAAGAAGTTACAAAAGCCAAAGTAATGTCATGTGACATGAGATCAGAAGATAAGAGTATTTGATTAATGACTTCCAAAATCTGTTCTCATAGTTGCACTATTGCTAAGGGCTGGGAATGACTTGGAAGGACTAGGAGGCAAACCCTCATAGTGCTTCAGTGTGGTGAAGGCTATGTTTAAAGATAAAATTTTCTGAGGAGTTGAAATAATTCTCTCATATCCTCAGAATAGCATTTAGTAGATTATCAGTGCTGTTCTCATCTCTGCTGCGAGCTATGATTAGGTGGCAAATGGCAAGAAGAAAGGAAGACGGTGTGTGTGAGGGGTGGGGAGTGTGCACGTGCACAAGGGGCCTTTATGCACACAAGCTGAGGAAACATTGGTTATACATAATTAAATGAATTTTTGATTGCTGAAAGTGTCCAAAATTTAATCTGCCAATGCAAATTAGAAATCTTCAAGAAGGGGGTACATTTTACAGGATTGTGCAGTATTTTTCAAGCTTTTTTAGCTACAAGTCAATTAATCTTCCCTTCCTCCTTCCTTCCCTCCCTTCTGTTCCTTGCCTTCTTTTCCTCATTTCCTTTCTCTCTTTTATTGCTGAGCACCTTACAAGTTAACTGTCCCACAAGGTCCACTGCTGGATCAGCTCAGCTTGTTAAGTGTAAAACTAATGAGGTCCAGGCCAAACAGATGTCCTCCAGACCCTGCTTCCCTGTACAGCCTGCATATGGAGTCCTGGCCAGCTGACCTGGGAACATGTGCTTTTATTCCTCGGGGAGACTAGATGATGCATGTCAGCCCTACAGTTTTCACTTACATACAAACCATTCAAAGCAGATTCTCAAGTGCTTGTGGGTCAGTAGTATCATAGTCACATGGAAGGGTCAGTACATGATTCTTGGATATTTTGCAGCAGAGAATGGGATTCTCAATGTATTTGAAATGTCTTTGAGGAACTGACAGCTGTAGAGAAAGTCTTTCTGTTTCCTGTAAAATAACATTTCCTTTCCCTATAAAATATAGTAGACAACGGCTGATTCATTCTAAAGTTATCTATAATCCATCTTCTCTGATTCCAGCTACAGTTGAATAAATGTTTGAAATACAAAACATTCCGTGTACATAATAGAATAAAAAGATAATTTGCCATCACGCATTTAGGTAACATATTTTGAATTTTTAGCTTTTGTAACAATATAAAATTTATTTTTATAGGCTGTTACTTTCCATATTCTTACAGTAATGAAATATTTTCATTCATCAACAACTTAACAAATATTTATCTACTACAATGCAAATGCTAAAAAGGCATTTTCACAGTAAGTGAAATTATTATATGAACTCAGATGGCAGAGAGTTTAATATACTTTAAAATAATATTTTAATATTCAAGTGTTGCACAGTTATTGAACTCTAACCTGTAGGTGGCAGTAAGCTGAATTAGACACAAAGTAACATTGATATTTTTATTTTAATTCATTTCATTTTAAAATGTGGTCTGTGTGTGGCCACAAAGACTAATCTTCTAGATTACTTAATAATCCAGTATTTTCTTGAAGAATGCTGTCCTCTGGCAATTCTGTTGCTGGTGGTGGTCCAAAAATAAACTGCTGAGGTTTAAATTACCACAAACTTACAATACCATCTATAATGATGCTTTAAGAATTTTCCAATGAATGAAAAGTATATTTTTATAGCTCACTCCCCCCTCATCCTGACAGAAATAAAATCCTCTGAGCAATCTGGAGTGAGTAACCTTTTGCTAGAATGAATCAGACCCTTGTGGAAGAATACCCTCATTCTTTTGGAAAACGTGTCAGCCATCATCAGTAATTTCCCCTTCTGGGATGTTCTTTCCAAGATCAAAGAATATTTGAGAATTACAATTAATTTTAGGTTTTTATTTAGAAGTATATCCTGTATACTTTAAACATAAATATTAAAACCCCTGCTGTGACTGTTGTGGTGACCTAATTTTGCAGACTATGAAACTGTGAGTATTAAATTCAGATTCAGTGATGGCAATTTGTAACATTTTTAAAGATACATGAGACTATATACTACCAGGATAGTGGTTAGTAAAAATTACCTGTATGTGTTTATACTCACCAGCACACAGATTTCCATGGTGATATGGACAAGAAAAATCATCCTTTTCACAGTATTTTCCATACACTTTTCCAAGCTTAATTTTGTGACATACACATTTCCCACAAATACAGACTCCTCGACCACTGCAAACAGGTTGGTCCTTGTGTAACCTGCAACTCTCGGACGGAAATGAATCTTCATCAAAATGGCATTTACTCTCGTCACATTGCAAACACTTGGAGTCCAGGAAAGTTTCATCCTCACACTTTCCTTTAGGTCCTCTGTGGTCCTCACACTGACAACTGCAGCGCCTGTGTATGTGAATTTTAGTGGTTTCATTGAAACCAATAGGTTTGATTTTTGCATAGTTTTTTCCTCCTGTGACATCACATTTTTTCATTGTAACTGTTACATTGAAAAGAACCTAAATTTAGGAAGAAAAAGGAAATATAATTACATCCTTTGATATTTTTATTGCCAATATTATATGTGTCAGTATATTTCAATCAATAATATAATAGCATCTTAGAGTAATTGTTTATAAAATACCCAGGCAAGTTTTTTCACATGTAGATGCAAAATCCCTTTTAATGTCTTTTATTTTCTGATTAATAAACTAAAGAATTAGAGAAACCAATGATTGCTAATTGCCTATAATACACCATTAAACAGACTTGATCCTGTTTATGTGAAGTGCCTACTCCACCTTCCTATTTTCAAGTTGGACTAAAATCATTACAATTTAAAAATAATCTGTGTTTTTGGTTGGAAATTATGTTATATGTCATGATACAAAAATAACTAAATTTAGGCTTCAACATGTATTAGGAGTTTGATTCAGCCTTATTATAAGTTGGTGTTGGTGCTGTACTTTTGTCTTAAGAATGTTAAGGATTAACAGATGTGTAGGATAATGTGGTCATTGCCATTATTAATCGTAGAGCAAAACTTGGGGTTTATATAATTAAGAGGTCAGATGACTATTCCTTAGAGTCACGTTGTTTATACAACTTGGTTGAAAGTCAAGGGGAAAAAGAAATGTAGGAAAAAAGAAAGAAAGAAAGAAAAAACCCTAAGAAGTAAGAAAACCATTGCTCCAAACTTGAGATTTTTGAAAGAATTAATTCATTCTTCAGTAAGTAACTTAATGTTATCTTATGATAGAAAAAAAATTTCTTTATATTTAATGAAAATCAAATGTGTATTTTGTAAACTGCTGTATGATGGCTTTTGAACAAAATCCAAGGACTGATTATAGAGGAAACTACAGAATTAGAAACTTGCAGTAATTAATTTAAAATGTACAGCTTGTAGGCACAATTATACTACCCACAAATTCTAAAATTCTCAAGAGGGAAAATATATTCTAACTACAGAAAAGTCTCCTTTTATTGAGAATGTTCTACCTCTTTCCATCACTTTTTATCTCTAGGACCTGACATGTAAGCAATTAATAAAATTATAGAGGAGGCTAGGGATGTGGCTCACGGGTAAAGCACTTGCCTGGCCTAAGTGAGGCCCTGAGTTCAATCCCCAGCACCACAAAAAATCACTACTACTACCACTACTACTAATAATAATAATTTTAAAAAAATACAATCATAGAACCTTGGAGTTAGCAGGGAGATGAAAAGTCTTCTAGTCCAAGCCATCTGATTAAAAATGAGATAAGTCATGCCCCAAGAGGAAAACGACTCACTGGAGATATCTTTACCCCACAAGGATCTCTGTGTGTGCTTCTCTGCTGTGCCTCTCTACTGTGCCAATTCTTGGAGAATCCCTACTCCTCTGGTCCTGTTTCCTGATGCTACTGTGATTTAGGCCTCTTTGTTTTCATCTCATTTCAACTCCTCCTTTTTTATTGTTCTCAATTTCCCTACCTGATTATGAATGGACTGAGGCAAACACAAAGTGAAAGATTTTGAAATTCTTAGACTTTATCAATTGTGTCATTCTTCCCTATAGCTTATTACTTTCAATATCACATTTACCCTTGAGAATAAGCAGATTTGAATCCAAAAGGAGATGTGATTTCCTCTTCTATACCAATTGGGTCACCTACGTTGGAAGTTACTGTTATTAAACAAGTGTCCAACATAATACATATTTATTTATTTTAACTTGAGGGTTCAAGAGTATAGTTAATTGAGTTAAAACAAGAAGGTAACTTTGAGAAGAGACAACGAAAGTTATTTTGAAGTATAAATAAAATGCCTGGAGTCAGCAGTTAAGTACAATTATTCAGAATGGTTTGGTTTTTCTGTGAGGAAAGCATGCCAAACAAGTTTAGCTTATTTTAAATAAGAAAAACGCACACCCACATACTTCATCATTGCTTGTCACATTTCCACATCCATCGGTGCCTGGCTTTCTGGCCCCATCTGGACAAATGGCTGTGATGTTGAAATAGACACCTTGTACCTGGTTTTCCACCTGCACTTTCACTTCTGAAATGAGTTTCTGTGGAGACATCATCTTTTAATTAAATGCTGAAATGGTTTCAAATATAAGCAATGAAGCAGAGTCAAGCTTATCCAATTACTCTAGGTTTAATTTTTTACTAAGTCAAAGAGTCTGTCTTTGTAAAAGGATGAATAAATACAGTGTTTCCACATAATGACCCAATTACGTTTGAAATATGTAAGAAATACTGAAAGATTAGATTATCTGCATTTAAATGGTTCTATTTTCCCCATTGTGCATTTCGATTACTTCAAAACTATTTCTCACTCAACCTGTTATGAAAATTATCTTTCAAAATTCAGTGCTACTTACATATTATGATACAGTTTAAGTAAAACATTGAGACCATATATCACAAAGGGTGAATTTCCATAGCTAAAAACATGAAACATGCTTCTGACAGATAACAGCTGTTAAAAAAAAAAAACATTTTAATTTCAAACACTTTATACTATCATGAAAGCTAAAATGCCTTATTGATACAGAGTTGAAAGGTACAGTTTGGGAAGGAATGACCTGACAGACATGTTCCTCTAAGAATGGCTTATAAATTGTGTTAAGACCCGAGGGCTTGCTTTTGTTAGTCAAATTTGTACCAAGCCTTCATTCCAAACTAGGGCTTCTAAACTAGGCAGAAAAAAATTCATTGATTTACACTCATTTATATGCTCATTCAGTATATGATTTAGTGGCTATCACGTATTAGATATATAGTAATTTCTTCTATCTCAATCTCTTAAGTTCCAAAGGATCTAGCTACTTTAATTATGTCTTTCAGATCTGTGTGCATTTTATCCCATAAAATTAAGAGTCAACTAAATGCAAAAACCCATAGCTTATACTTGTAAACAAAGGAAGAAAAGTGGCAGTGTAGGAAGAAAAAAAATACTTTCAGAGGATTCTAATCCTTTACGTGAATAATTTTTCTTTTCCAATGGTATAATCAATAAAGGTACATGGGCTTACTGATTAATAATTGAGCATGGAATTCTGATAGCATATCTTTAGAAAAAAATACTTTCCTCAAATTCATGAGTATTATTTGGATTAAAAAAGACCATCTCAGCACCCCTCCTCCCCATTTTGAGGCAGGGTCTTACTATGTTGCACAGACTGGCCTGCAACTTGCAATCCTCCTGAGCAGCTAGAATTACAGGCCTGTACCACCATGTTAGAGAAGTCACACACTGCAACTGTTAATTGAATAATTTTGGCAAACCAAAAGGAACTTTCAAGGATATGCAAACGATGGATATGCAATAATATGTCAGATCAGAAGGAAATACTTAATTCAAGGAGTGTGCTCAGATTACCCTTCAGAAATTCTGTTTTAAGACTTTAAGCCAGTTAGGCCCAAGTTTTTCAAGCAATATGTAAAGATAGATATCTAAAATATTTCCCAGTTTTAGGATGTAGGAATTAATCTCCTGACACAATCTGAAGCTTCCCCTTTAATATCTAATCAGTAATGAGACAGATTATTTTTTCTGTTTTAAGATTCTTCAATGAATTGGGAATTGTTTCTGTTGGATGGTGAAGACAAGATAAAATTTCAGAAGAATTTTGAAAATATAGACACATAAAAAATGACAGAATCTCAACCTAAGGTAGTTAGCCAGAGTTGAGTTTGTTTTGCTTTTTAATTGATGTCACTGTAAGATCAGTCAGAACCACAGTGGGATCAGACATCCCATATCTGTTCTAGACAAATAAAGAAATTAAAGCAGATACTTTGGTCTCCTTTCCTTGGATACTGTATGACACATAGGTGAAAAGTTGTCAGTTTATGCTCCTTGCTTGGGGTAATAAATGGTCTCATACTATAGCAGTTCAGTCCTAACAGTATAAATTCCTTTCTTATGTGGATTCTTCTCAGAAACACACTTTTGATGAGAAAAAAATTATATGCACATTTGATTTTTCTTGATAAAAATCCCTAGTCATAACACTCTTTTGTGAGAGATGTCATTTAAGATGTTCTTCCTTATTTCATTCTACACAGTTTCAGACACAAAATAAAAGTCCCCGGCAAAAATAATCTAGCAAGGTTTATTTTCCTTTTAAAGAATAACTTCAATAATTCTTCATTGTATATCCCGTGTCTACTTTCTGCCTTTCCCTATTGTACTCAAGTTGAAGGCAGGTGCTCCTTGAAGATGATTAGAGAAATCTGAGGTTTTTTTCTCCACGTTTTGGCTGTTCTTTACACTATTCAACTCTTACATGTTTGGGAAGGGAATCAGAGAATTTGGGAAAATGAGACTTTATAACTGGCCCATAAATTCAAGGTCTAATCGAGCAAGCTTGATACTACATAAAAACGACAAAAGAAAAATAGGTGATATTATAAAGCAGGAAACACCTGGAGCATGACGTTGAACACCTGGATTCTGATCCTGATTCCTCTGATTAGCTGTGTGACCTTTGGTTAATTTGCTTCACTTCTCTGTTTCCACAAATATACAATGAGAGTAGTAACACCTGCCTAGGTGAGGATTAAACGAAGTCATGTGTGAAAAGTGTCTGGTTCTTAGTGGTATTACAACATTACAGCACATATGACATGAAGCCATGACCCAGTTTGAGAGAACAGATGTTTCTTTAAATTCTTTGCATTCAGTTGCCCACTCTTCACAGGATTGATAAGAGCATACAACCATAAATAACAGACCATACTTGTCAAGGTGATTCTTTTACTCAAACTGTTTTGATGAATGTGCTCAAATAATTGACTGAACAATCAAATGATTGCTCATAGAGAACAAAGTCATCTTAGTAATCTCTATGTCCCAGATAATTCATTTCCCCTGGCAGGTTGTTTCTTTAAATAACAGTGTGGATTTCATAATTCATGAAAAAGGGAAATTATGCAATTTCTTGGTAACAAAATGCTTTCTGTAACCATGAGTAGGTAACTCATTGAGCATTGAATTTGGAAGGAAACTGAGAAAGTCTCAGGCCCAGTGTTGGATGGCTGTCAACGAGACCACATAGTCTCCCAAGGGACCATGGTAGTTTGTGCTAATACCGGGCCTAAATGCCAGATTCCCTGTTCCTAATTTTATGTTCTTTCTACCACTCCTCTCAAGATGATACAGCACTAGTTGGTATGTTGTCACAGAAATGTTTATTTGGAAAGTTAAAGTTTATTTGGCAAAAATCGTATATGATATATGCATACCTTGTAGGCGTCTACTACCAAATTGTTGAGGTTAGCAGCCTTTGATTCTATCTCACCAGCAATGGTGCCAGGCAAAAGGGGTAGAAGGTCCTAGAAAACACATCAGTTGAATTTACATAATGGCAAACTCTGCAGTGGTTCAGCGATCAACAAATATTTAATATTTTTCCATTACCAATGGAAGATGAGATATTATATGAAGGAAAAATATAAAACATGAAAAATATAAGCAACCTGGCAGGACTGCAAGCCCTTATACCCATGAAAAGGTAGTGTGTATGTGTGTGTGTGTGTGTGTGTGTGTGTGTGGGCACACATGCAAATAAACATGCATGAGCATGGGTGTGTACATCCTGAATTACATGATGACCTAAAAATATCATCAGAATTATATCAGAATTTCCAAAGCATCTTCCATGGAACACAGCCCTAAGAGACTTAGATGAAAAATGTTCTAAGGGCAAAAAAGATTGGGAAGTTCTGCATATCTTTATTCTATCCAGAGATCCAAATTGCACATTTTCAAACTAAAACGTTGAGCAGTCCTGTAATTTGTAAATAATTTGACTCAGTTTAATGCAGCATTCCCCAATGCTTCTTTAAATGCCAAACCTCTTTTCTTAATATATATATATATATTTTATAGAACTGCTGACCCATGGGACATGTTGTATCAGACAGTAGGAAAATCAGAGTTACAGGTGGAGCTTCAAAGAAGAGGAGTTTGTGATGGGTAATGCTTACTAATTTTGGAGGAGATGCTATTACCAGGGAGAATGTGAGAATGAGCAAAGGCTTACAGGGCTACAAGAGGAAGAAAAGCAGTTGGACTAGAATAAAGGTGCATATTTATAAGAGTTCAGATTATGAAAGTCTTAAAATCCACTTATTCACTCATTTTTTTCAGTTCAAAAGCATCATTAACTTTCTTCTATATACTATCCATATTTAAACACCAACAATTTGTTATCTCAAGTCATAGGGAAAAATGTATCACAGATTTTAAAAATTCATTTATTAACAGATGCTTTTTTTGAGCATCTATTATATACTACTTCGGAAATGCTAACTTACTAGACCACATAGTTTCTGTCCTTAAGGATCTCACAGGTCTGTAAATGATAATTCCACAAAATATAAGCCACATGAAGCATTTGTGCACAGAAGCTATTAAGCAGGATGCCTGGCAAGGACTGCAGAGACGGGGAAAGTTATCAGGGGCTGTTTCCTTAAGGAGATGACTTATAAGCTCTTCGTAGAGGATGGCGAGGGGGAGTGAACCCAGTCATGAGAGAGAATGACTTCCACATATGGGGGTGCAGTGGGGGCAGCAAGAACAAAAGCACAAAGAAAGAAGCAGGTTGGTGAGTGTGTGTGAGGGGGAAGATCAGGCACACTGCTGGAGGGCAAGGTAGGGAAAAGAGGCCCCAGTGAGAGGTAGATAGAACCAGGTGCCAAATTAGAAACTCAGTCCTCTAAATCATAGGGAGCCCCTAGGATATCTTGCTCTAGAAAGTACTGTGGACATACTTGTGATTTCAATGCATCATCTAGCACCACGTGGAGAATGAATTTGGGTGATGAGTTTCAATGCTGTTAGGGTGATAGAAAAATGAAAAAAAATGAAAGATGGGTGATAGAAAAAGATCCATGAGCAGCTAAAGTAGGTGCCTACAAGGGCGTGTGTGGGACTCAGCAGGGCTCATATGCGGCTTTTGGAGCCTGATGATGTTTACTTTGCTCACAATTCAGTTAATAATAAACCTAGTTTATAGTTTATCAGTCAGTGGCAAATTTATAAAGAACGAGGGAGAATGTGGGAGGACCAATAACTCTCTGAACAATAGAGAAAGAGGAAGCAAAAGCTATCCAAAGCTACATGGTATTCCAAAGTCAACTATTCAGCTTACAGGTTAAGATCACAAGATTTGAGTTGTTAGAAAACTCTGGGCAAGTATTTATCCTCTCAAAATGTTTCCCCATCTTAAAATGAGCAGACTAATAAAACTGCCCTCACTCAGTGAGATGGTAAGATCTCAGATGCATTAGTGTCTCTGAACTCAGTACCTGGCAATAGTTAAGTACTCAGTAAGTAGATGCTGTTCCTCTTGTTATTAAAATGGTTAAAGCCATTTTATTTGGGGCAGAGCCCTACTTCTGTGGATGTTAATTTGTTATCACCTTAAAACGCGGCTTCATGGTATATGGAAATCAGGGAGGGATTAAAGTTTCACTAAATATTTCTAAAGGAATAAATGATATGGTTAAAGTGGCACTTTCAGATGACAAATGTGGCTGTTAGGTGTTAGGTAAATCAGAGAATGTAACACTAGTTTGTGGACAATGAAAATGATTTTAAGTATCCGTTGAAACCAAAAGATAATGTAGTTTCTCTAAAGTTTTAAAAAGTAAGTAAGGGTGCTTGTAGCTAGCCAGTGAGAGGAGTTTGCAGTTGGAAAGTAGAAGGAAGAAATAAAGATAGTAAAGAGATGAAGATCTGGTGGATAGTGATGCATGTTGGAAACAAGGACACCACAGCGTTATAGAAATGAAGAAAAGAGATTCTAGAAGACAGACCCTAAAAAAAACCAAAAGACAATTATAGTAAGGCACAGAAGAGGAATTCTATGTTGAGCAACTGCCCCGAAGGATTCAGGACACCACTGAAACCACACCTGCATAGGGGATTTGGCTGGCTCAGTCACTTCTCAGGCTCTTCCTGGTCCTTTAGTAGAAAATATACACCAAAGCTAGATGTGTTGGTGCTATGGAAAATCAAGCAGATAATTCTTTAACTTTAGCCTATGGTAAGAATATGTCCATGGCTAGATTATAAGTAGGAATCTGGACATGAAAGGTATAGATATGAAGTGTGAAGTTCTTTCACCTGATAAGAATCTTTCCTGTTATTGTCACATCCATCATGTCCTTCAGTGTTAGGCTATGCCTATGTATATTGGGTATAATTCTCAAACAGCATTTCATGCATGACTTGTTTCTATGTGTTACAAACCTAGGTCGAATTTGTACTTAAAAGCTAATTTAAGATACAATAAAATGTACTTTAGTTAATACATTATTAAATTCAGGTTATACAATTCCAAATTCTTATCTCTGGTTCCAAGAAGTGCCCTAATTTCAACTACTAATGTAAACATTCTAATTCGTATGTTTAGGAATTGACATACCTTGTACCAATGAAATTGTTTTCCTTGAACTGCAAAAATGACATTAATGTTGTTGTCTATTAGTTTTTCCGAAAGTTGGCCCAGAGAGGGATGTTCCTGAAATGGATAATGAAATAAAGAAAGGAATGAAAATTTGTAGCTCAGCCCCACACACATCCAAACAGCTACTATGAAGAAAGCCTTGTGACTTACGCAACAGCATACTTACTAGGGAAGGGTTATGGTTTTACTAGAGATATTTAAATTTTTTTCATATATAGTATTAATTTGTGCTCTATATGTGTTATATGAATTGTGATGCATTCTGTTGTCATATATAACAAATTAAAATAAAAAAGAATAAGCTAACATGCTAAAAAAATTAATGCGTTAGGGACAATTTATAGGAAAAAGCTCCCTAAAAACCTCATTCAGCATAGTACAAAAAATGACCAGGACCTCTTCAGATTAACACTGGACTCAAAGTGATATAATTGAAACATAATTTAATGTTCAGAAATAGAGACACATTAGTGACAACCATATTCTGAGGCAAAATTCAGCAGCATGTGTTGAAATGCAAAATGCTGTGTACATGTATATGCCTGTAAACACATGTGTGCAGGTGTACACACACACACATATTTGATTTGTAACATGATTCAGATAAATTCTCTTTAGAAGCCTAAAATTCTGTGCTCAAATCACAGGTTTGTCACTTTATGACAAAAGGTCTCACTTCCGTCCTCTGTATCATGTGACTGTTATCTGCCTTCTATGACTACTGGCAAGATTAAAAAGATAACAATAATATGTGAACTATTTAGTGTAGCTTCTTGTATCTAGTAGGTACTCAAAACTAATAGCCATTGTGACTTTTCATTTCTAACTTGACAAAGTGTAGATTAAAGATCTTTCAATTTGTTATCATACTTAATTTTTCTTGTCAGATGATATATATCATAAACCTGTTTTACTTTTGGTGAATAAAATATATGCAGAGCTGTTTGTGGCGATGAGAAAGCTAGGGTTGAGGAGGAGGAGGGGAATAAAATTTATTTTAGAAAATATGAGAAATTGACAACCATAGAAATTGCCATGCAATGTTATACAGTTAGACTTAGTAGCTTTTTTTTTCTTTTTATAAATTCTCTTCTAGGAATTAAAGTGATAATCTCAACTAACAAGTTCGTACTAGACATCTCTCCGAGAGATGGTGTCAAACTCCACTTGCAGTAGCCTTGCCTATTTGTTGGTGCTGATTGCATGAACCAAGGGTTTTGTGACTAAACCTAACCAGTATTATATAATTCAAGTTCAAATCACTCCACAGTTTTTCTCCAGGTTGCACTATCCAATATTAACTGTTTGCTTTAAAAGAAAATTTCACTAAATCAACTTGATGAATATCTCTGTGTTTTTGTAATGACACAAACTTTGTACAAAAGCTAAATTAACTACTTTTGCTTATAACCCAAGTTCTGTGACCCACATATTAAATTTATGTATATAGACCTAAGAAGTAGTGTTCAAAAAATCCTATCAGGGCTTGGGGTAGCTCAATGGTACATCATGTACATAGCATGCATGAGCCCTGGGTTCAAATCCAGGAGAAATAATAACAAATATACTTTCATTTCTATATTGTCTACTGCGGTAGAGGCAACCCAAATTTTCATGAGTTGCATTTAAATGTGATACGAAACCAATTTATAAGGAGCTTAGAAAGCATACCACATGGTTTGCATAACAAAAATTCTACCCAAAGCAATTCTTAAAAATGTAATTTTAAAGCAAAAGAAAAAAAATTACTCACATATAAATTCTGCCAGCTAAATTCTCATTCCTTTTCTAACAAAATGTATAATCTTAAAATAGATTTATGATACTTTGCATAATGCTTAGTAAATTAAATAGAACAAGTAAATGCAAGGTAAGTGTTGATGTATTGGGATTTTTGTCTTGATGGTAAAAACTACTTTTCAAATATTTTTGCTTTCAGAAAAATAATTGCAACTTGTCAAGTACTTACTCCTCTTAATTTATAAAACTATTCATATTTTGAGAAAAATTTAACCCATATAATTTTAATCAGTTTATATTTAACTCACATAAAATCAACATTTAAAGAACAGTCATGAGTGTATGCAGCTTTTGGAGCCTTCTTAATCTCCTTCCTTCCATAAACAGGAAGTCACATTGACCAAAAGTACACAAAATTTAAATCGAGAATGTTCTAGTTTGGTCAGAAACTCATTAAAAAGTCGGATTTTTAAAGTTTGAAAGAACATGTTTTTTGAACCCTGAAGCTAAATCAGTTTGAAAAGAAAATTCCAAGTACCTTGAGGCAGATTTTTTTTTTTTATTACAAATGTATAACAGATGCTTAAATAAACCACTGCTGACAAGAGACCTCTGAATGAATAGACCTTTCCAAAGTCCCTTCCCCTTTCTTCAATGAAGCATATCCTTTAAGTATCTTATCTCCTATGTCTTTTACTTTGCTGGCAGGAGAACACACTCCCTCCTAGCCAGCTGTGCTGTTCGATGATGTCACTGCTTCTCAAGTCTCACTCTCCCTCTGTCTAACCTGATTCACATTGTTTCTCCAAACTCTGAGAATAATTAATAGCGATAACAAGCATTTCAGGGGCAAAAGGGAGAAGGCAAAGCAATATGCCAAAACAGCTACTAGATAGTGAAGGCAGTGGGAAGTCACTCATAAATGTCAGAAGGCAAGAGGGGCATGAAAGGTTCATTAGGAGCAAGTTCAGTTAAAGAGCTAACTGTGGAGATGTGGTAGAATTTTTAAAAAATGTGTATACCTGGGGGATGAAAGGGAAATGTTTAAGAAACCCTTCACCTTCAACAAAATTAATAATTAAAAGTTTATAAAATAATTTCAAATTTGTAGTATTGGATATAGTAATATTTTAACAACTTAGTTAAATAAAATATTTAATTATCTGGTTTATTTTTTAGAGTTCACTTTTTAGAGGAGAGAGACAAATAATATGCAAGCAATCTGATAGCAGAGATTTATTTGGAGATAAAAAGTTTGAAGCATACATTTTCAGCGCACATCCATTGCCTTAGCCTGTGCCTCTCTGAGTGGCAGCATAGTACTAACTGCACAGACCAGGGTTTCTCAATAGCAGTGCTATTGACATTTGGGGCTGGATATTTTCTAGTTTGGGGGATTGTCCTCTGCAGTATAGGATGTCTAGCAGCAACCCTAGAATCTACCCAGTAGAAAGTAGCACCTCCATTACCTGATTGCAACCACCAAAATGTGTCTGGATATGGAAAAGGTCCTCTGAAGGGTAAACCTGCAACAAGTGGGGCCTTTTGAAAGATCATTGAGGTGTGTTCACAAGAGGATTGTGGGATCCTGGCCCCTTCCACTTTCTCTCTTCTGATCCCTGACCACAAGGTGAGAGGTTATGTTCCACCACTTGCTGACACCATTATGTGCCACCACCAGTCCAAAGCAATGTGAGCAACTTATCATGGACTAGAACCCCCAAAACTAGGAGCTAAAATAATCCTTTGTCTTTATAATTTGATTATTTCAGTATTTGTTATAGTGACAGAAAGGTGACTAATATACTATGTGACTGGGCATCTACACTTTTCTGGGATCCAGTTTCCATGTGCATAAACTGACAGAAATAGCAGTAGCTGCCTCTCACACTGATAGTGGGGATAAGTGGGTGAATGCATAAAGGCTTTCACCTGTCTTTCCATAATTACCAAGCCCAAACTAAAGTTGAGTGGGGGGTTCTATCCTTTTGTCACTCTGCTTGGCATCCACAGCTATGAAGGGGAGTGACTACAGGTGAGGGACTGATTCCCTAGTACCTCCATTTTCTCATTTATAAGACACAAGTAAAGCAGTAGCTCCAACTCACTGGAGTGCTGAGTGCTGTTACATGAAAGTTAAGGGACAGACATCACACACTGATCAATAAAAGACATGTTTTAACAAAAGACGCTAAACAAGAGACATTACTACATATGCTAGATGTGGTCCTTGGATTTGCCTTAATGGACACATCTCACTTATTAACTCCTCATAACGGATCCCTCAGGTGTTTGAATTTGTGATACTTGCCCAAAATGGTACCAAGTGTAGCCATATACTCTACTTAATGAAGTAAGTAGACATCACAGTAGGAAATATTTGGTTTAATGCTGTCTATTGTTTGCATTAGTTGTTATTATTATTTGTCTCCCCCTAAACAGTGAGGTAATGGAAATTTTCAGGGACACTATAAGTCCCCAATGTAGAAACTCTACTTTATCAGATCCATACTGTTAGATGGCTGAACCCACAAATAACATGAAAAAGCAAGGGAATAAATTTTCCCAAACAAATCAAGATACTCCAATAACAGAATCCATTGGACAACACAATGGAAGAAATGTCACAGAGGGAGTTTAGAATGTACATAGTTAAATTAATCTGAGAAGTAAAGGATGGTATAAAAAATAAAATCAGAGAAAAAATCCAGGAAGTGAAAGATTACTTCAATAAAGAGGCAGAGTTTCTGGGGGGGGGGGGGAAGCAGAAATCCTTGAAATGAAAAAAACAATAAATCAAATTAAAAATTCAACGGAAAGCATCATCAACAGACTAGACCACTTGGAAAACAGAATCTCAAGCAATGAGGACAAAATACATAATCTTAAAAACAGAGTTAATCACATAGAGAAGATGTTAAGAAACCATGAACAGAAGTTGCAAGAACTATGGGATAACATGAAAAGACCAAATTTAAGATTTATAGGGGTAAATGAAGGCACAGAGATATTAACCAAAGGAATGCACAATCTTTTCAATGAAATAATATCAGAAAATTTCCCAAACCTAAAGAATAAAATGGAAAATCAAATACAACAGACTTACAGGACCCCATATGTACAAAATTACAATAGATCCATACCAAGGCACATTATAATGAAAATGCCTAACATATAGAATAAGGATATATTTTAAAGGCTTCTAGAGAAAAAATATAGACTATGTTTAGCGGGAAAACAATTTGTGTCTCAGCTAATTTCTCAACCCAGACTCTCAAAGCTAGGAGGTCCTGGAATAACCTATACCAAGCTCT